TGAACCGGTTGCATCCACCTAGTGCTTTCAGGTTTCACGATTCATGAATAGCATCGATCACGCATCTTAAAGCTAAGGGCGCTAAGTGATACTGTCAATATTGCCGGCTTGTAACAGCCTTTTTTTTACTTTAGTTTGAAAAAGGAAGTCGACATAAGGATAGGTAAGTACAGTGCTCCTCTCCAGCCTCAATGACGTCACTTGATCTCCCAGTTATTGAGATATTGCCGCTTGCTAAGAGATAAATCGGACAACGGACCAGCTTGAATGCCTCCCCTGGATAGGGTATACCGACAAGTCAAAGTGTCACCAGAGAGGGCTATCTCGTGGCGGCGTTAGGGTTGGCGGAGGCTGTACCAGCCAGTCTCCTTCCTGCGAAGTTTCCATTCATACTCGAAAACCCAAACCCCTTTGGCTTTCGTTCGTGCGGAAATCCCCCTTTATGTTGTGTTTCGTGACGCCTTCACAGCTTAGGAGCCTCCGCGTTCATTTTCTTGCAGAACAGAAGGTTCATCCAATCACAGCGAACAACGAAGGAATTTGAGCTAACAACGAATATCGGAATAGATGCCTTGCATTGACGTAATACTGTACTGCAAACAGGAGTCCTTCGCATATGGCAGCGTGACGTTGAGTGTGCAAACGTATTATGATTTGAAACACTCGTTGAGGCAAGTGACAACATAGCTTCCACTGCATTAATAGGGCGCTTGGTACCAAAGTACGACGGTAAAGACCGTCGTACGTCACGGGCAAGGCATATAAACAATTAGATATAAGAAATCCAAACCACAATAGGACAATCATGCAAGGAAAACGTCATGCCCAGTGTCGCAGCGTACAAGGCATTGTGAAGTTTAATCTTATTCCAATCGTGGTAATTCGCTAGAATTGTTCAGTTGTTCGTGGTGATTTTCTACCGTAACCATCATCATCATAATACATTTGTTTGAGACCTGCCTTCTGGTCGCTGAACCCCCGCTTTTCGTGGAAGTAAACGCTCTGTGTTTTTCTTTAAATTTTTGTATTTATTATTGTATTCCGAAGCCTTGATTGTAAGTTGTTTTGAAACATGTAGTGCTTGGAGAGAATATTAATAAAAAATCGTCTCCAGCAAAAAAAAAAAAAAAAAAAAAAAAAAAAAAAAAAGAAGAATTAAGTTGCAGCGCGACGTGTGCAGCGCTTTTGAATCCGACGGTTGCAACGAGAGAATGGATCATTCCAACCATTTAACTACTTACTGATTTCCGCCTCAAACGCATTTTCCTAATAGGATGTTAAACTGAGGTTATAGAGGCGAAAAACAAATACCAGAAAATCATGAGCTCGCATCGCCACTGCCCAGTGGCACGCACACATATTTTTTTATCAACGCAGCCACGACTGGTGATAGCGCTAGACTTGGATAGTCACTGTAAAAACCGATATTCATACACTCGTGGGCCACCGTTTTTAACTGCTTACGTCCTCGTGTGCGCATCGGGTCCTCGTGTGCGCATCGGGTCCTCGTGTGCGGATCGGGTCGGTTCAAAACACTTTATAGAGTCTCAGATTTTGGCACTGCGCAGCGGCTAAGCGCGGCCGAGAGATATCATTTCCATGCGTCCACCGAAAAAGGCATCCAACAAAAAAGGACACGACGGAGTAAAAACGTTGGATGCGTGTTATGTGAGATTTACGAGCTACATCACAATGATCTCGCGAAATAATAGCATCTCATTTACGCAGACACAGAGCTCCAGGCCAGCTACCAAATTCCTCTTTCCTGTCGGCTTTTCTCAATATTTCTCCTGAATTTTGTAAACACGTGTCACCTCATACCTCACCCCCCTGCGGGCACAACGGCGCATGAGCGCAAAGCTTTCGCCATCGAAGGCGCCTTGTCACAATTGGGAGCTCGTAGCCTTTCGCCTCTTCTAAGCACTCCCAAATCCCCACTCAAGCTCACCAGCCCCCCCTCTCCTAATGATGGCCTTTAGGCGCCGCGGTAGTACCGCCTGCCTGTTTTGTCCGCGGGCCAGAAGCATCATGCATCTTCTGGGTTTCTTGCTTCCACACGGGGGAGCAGACAAACGCTCGCCGACGTCGTCTTGTCGGAATCCATTCAGTTCGCTGTCCCCTCTTTGCTCGCTCTCAACTGGTTGTCAATCAGGTTCATGAGTCCTGCCTGTCATTTTCTTCTGGTTTTGACTTTTCAGGCAAGTCTCTCCTTCGCCCCGGTGCTTTTTGTGCTTGGCGGTAGGTCAGCATGCATAGAAGGGTCATTTCGTTTTCATTTAATTTAGTTCGGTTCAGGAGAGACGGAGGTACAGCAGATAGGTCGAAGGCCCATAACAGATAACCTGCAAACACGCAAATTAAAAAAAAAAAAAAAAGGGAGGGGGAGGGGGGGCTCGGCAGCTCGGTCCTGAGGACAGGAGGGGCTCAAGCCCACCCTGCCCCCCCGCTTCCGGAGCCCCTGTCACGCCGAGTGTCTCTTGCAAATAGCATACGATGAAGTTAGACGTTCACGTGGAGCGTCAAATGCATGAGCGAAATTGCCTTACTGCTGCGCGAAGGCTGAAAAGCCCTTCGTTGGACGCTGGACGCTGACACTGGACGCCATTTTCGAGGGCGCTGTTTATACCTCGGGTAGCTGCTTCGAAGCGTTCTACCGCAGAACGAGCGCGCGCGCAAGAAATGCGCGTCTCAAAGCCAGGAGCGCGTGCTAGCTCGCGCTCCTGGCCGAGGGAGCGTTCGCGTGCACGTCGCAAATGCACTGGAAGCTCGCTATCAGCTCGCGCTCAGCAGTCACGCACACAGCTGCGGCCGCAAGTGAATGCGACGTAGTTGCGACGCGGCCCCTACCACCCCTACTCTCGTCAAGCTTCGGGCTGTTTGCCGCGTGGGGCGGGTCGGGGATCTACTAACGAAACGTCATGCGCAGGCCTTGTCTTCTAGGTGGTATTGGTCAGGCGCGTCAGAATATTGTAGTCGCCGGCGAGGATTGCGAGTTACCCTTGGGAGATCCTTTTGTTGGACCCGGCGTCAGCGGCGAAGTATACTTCGGTTCATCTTCTGTTAAACCAAAACATTTCTTTTTTCAGTAGCGTAGCACTAGCACTACAACGGGACGCGCAGTCGTCCGGATGATCTCATCGTCGTGGCCCGAGACTTGAACCCTTGACGGTCTGGTGCACTCGCTCAGCGTACTCTCAGAACGACGTCGGAATAAAGAGGGGTCAGTCATAACAATCTCAACTTGACGAAGAAAAAAGAAAAAAGTAGGAAAGTTTGTTATAAAAGGCCCTCTACCCGAGGCAAACCTCACATGTTTCGTCATGGACACCTAAGATGCCGACACTCGCTTACTCGACCCTGCACAGCCTGTTTCTCAAATTCAACGCTGCCGTTCTATTCAGTGCCACGGTGGAACGTCTATCTACCTCGGCTGGGGACGTCTTCAAAAGGAAAAGGGGAAAACACTCCTATCAAGAACTTTGAAAGTCAATTGCTTCTGCGAGCGAATAAACTATTTTGGCGCAAATGCAAGCTATAAATAGACTGCATTTATTTTAGGCTCGCAGGGTTTTTTATTGATCAAAACTGCTGTTCATTTTGCTACCACAAAAATATAAAAAAGTAACTTCGAAAGTAACTTCAAAGTAACTCGCTACTTTTTAGAGTAGTTAGTAGTTTACTCAATTACTATTACGAATGCGTAATTTCTACTCTACTCCAATTACTTTTGGTGTCGATACTCAGTAACTTAACTTAACTACCTTTTTTGAGTAATTTGTACATGTCTGGTGTCAGTTGACGGCACTTAAAAACAAATGGCATTGATAGCACATTCATTGTCAACAGCGCGTGGCCGAACCGTTTTGACATGAGCCGGTAACCGTTATTTTTTTCCGGTTCAGTTCCGGTTTGGGTTCATCGCGATAACAATATAACGGTTCGGGTTCTGGTTCAGTTCCGGAAAAAAAATACCGGTTCGGTTCCGGTTTTCGGTTCGGTTCGGTTCCGGTTCGACACCCTGGCGTAAATATCAATTTTTACGAGTTACTCGAGATGAACGCATCATCGGTTCGTTGATCTGTAGCAAGGCCATTTACCGTACAAATGTGAGTCAGTAGAAGTTCGATTAAGGTGGTTGGAAGGTAAGCGTCTGCTGACTTACTCCCTAGCCGAACGCGCGAACGGTGAACTGGCAAGTGTCGTAGCTTATCTCGGCGTTCTTATAACTATGCTTATATTTCCTGTCAATCCGGCTTTTTAAGACGGGAACGGTCCTTTTCATAAATTTTCGGGCCTTCCCGTGTCTCTTCAGCGGCCCCGACCGCGGAGCTCTCCGGGGGTTAAGGGGACAGGCCGTCTTCGTCGGACGCGACGGTGGTTTTGCCTCATGGCTAATTGGAAGTGAGCCAACCCTCCTCGTCGCCTTTATTGATATTTTTTTGGGGGTGTAAAGTAAGTTTGTGTTGTTACTGTTTACTTTGCGGGGCCTCAGAAAAATTGTGTCAAGTTCCCTCAATCGTCATTCAGAAGAGAGCCTTCCTCTCGAAACGTCAATAAACCTTCCGTTGTTTTTGTTCATTCCATGTATCTTTCTTGTGCATTTGAATAATCATCGGCCCACAAGCTTTAATCATCATATATATATATATATATATATATATATATATATATATATATATATAATAATCCTTGTTGCTTTGTGTAGCGGAGAACCAGACATGCTGGACCATGGCCGTGACTTTCGACGGCACGCCTACCGGGCGATGCGAAGAGGGTCTTTCTTGCAAGCAGGGAATTTGCACCAGGGATGAGAAGCAAGGTAAGCGGGCGCCTGGCCGGCGGCCGCAACGGCTGGTTCACACATTTGCGTGTGACTGTGTTCTCAGCTGCGTTGCAACTGAGAACACAGTCGCACACTTGCGCCATACCTTGCAGGTTTCCTTGGAAACCTTGCGATCGGTGTATAAGTAGACTTTAAAGGGATACGCCAACGAAATTTCGAGGCTTGTTTTTTGGTCTGAATGGGTTCAAAGGAGCAGTATCACATCGAACACACCAATATCTTTTCAAAAAAAGTCACGAAAAGGAATTTTAAAACAAATTAAACGATTAGCAAAAAGCACCTTGTGGATGTCGCTTACGCCTCGTTTGTAATGCCCGTCTAGGAACCTTGAGAGGTAGTGACGGTAACTGTCTCGTCTCCGGCCGCGACGAGAGAAGAGGTGAAGGAGGAACTCCCCTCTTCCCGAGAATCCCTTTCTGTGTCCCAGAAGTCGCTATTGTCCCTACGTCACGATTGCGTTGGATGTCACGTGGTCTCCGCTGGCTGTTCTCCGAGTGTTTGCCAGAGTGGGCCGTTTATAACGAAGAATACAGCCATTAGGCTCAAGATAGAAACGCGCGATTGTCATTTACGGATATTGTGGATCGTATTCAACCTATTTTTGCACACAACGGATATATTTCAAATTTCGTTGAAGCATCCCTTTAAAGGAGCTGTGCAACGATATTCAGTTGGAGTGTGTTTCACTATACACGAGCTTACTGGCACACCTGGGACTCAAGGATACTCACACGCAACGCCACTGGCCAAGAAACTCCTTTGTTGCGGTGTAATTTCAAGGACAAAAGCGATCATTTTCATTCAATCTCTCCTTTGCAAAATTTGATGACGTAACTCGGGGATCGCAGTACACCCAAGTGACGATATTTGAATGCGGGTCATAGATTGGACCCGAGCATTGCGTGGGCACTCGACTTGGGCTCGTGACAATTACTAGGTCGAGAAGCATTCGGGTAGTCGCCCGCGTCCAATCGCTGCAACGACGAAAATAGCCGAGCCATGACAATGTCTGGAACTCAGCGCGTGTCCTGTGCTTTGCCAACCCCAGCGCGTGGCTATGATCAACATTGGCGGCATATAATCGGCTCCAGATCGCGTGGCCGCTTGTTCTGGCTGCGAGTTGAGGGGGTGAACGCTGCTCGTTTTTCTTTAATTTTTTTCTGGGACTTCTATTGCGTGAAGTGAAAAACGAACGCGTGTTTCATAGGTCATTAACGCTAGGGATCCGTTTTAAGCGGTATTTGTGCAAAGTACAAAAATTGTTGCATCACTCCTTTAAGGTTTTTTGCAGTGGTCCGCGACATCAAATCTACGCATTATACCTGCGTGTGTATAGTTGTTGCTCGTAACATCGTCGGAATTTATTTGAAGCCCAAGGTGAAGGAATGATTCCTAAAATGCACGCAGATCGAAATATAGTTCTAGGCGTGCCCGACAGATGGCGCCAGCTTGTTCTCTCCTCGCAAGCGATTGAACGCGGTCGATCAACCTCAAACGCAGACGCGCGCGAGTCATACATCGGGCCAAAGACACGGCGTTGGCTGTGGGGGACCTGATGACAGAATATCTGCCTCAATGAGCATGTTCGATGCATGTTGTTCGCTTCATACGTAGGTATTTACGCCTCCAAGATGTCTGCAGACTGTTTTTAGGGGCAAAGCTCCTAAAGGGGTATTCACACGAGGGAGAAATCCCCGGGATTTCTCCCTCGTGTGAATATCCCTTTAGGCTAGCCATGTCCGTATGTCCGGCCGCCACCGGGTCACGAGCACGTGAGCACGTGCTCCCGTGCTCTTGTAGGGCAGAAAAAAGAAAAGAAAGAAAACAACCTCATCTTTACGTGGTGAATGATGTTGATTGGGGCCAAGCTCTGGTGGTGCTTGTCTGCGTAGACGGTGAGCCGCAGCATGCCGAGCTTTTCGTTCGTTTTCATCCATATCAGAAAGAGGATGTGTGGTATGAAACGTGGTTTTATACGCATTTGAGCATTTGACCGCAGCGTGACATGGATGAAAACGAACGAAAGGCTCGGCATGCTGCGGCTCAGCGTCTACGCAGACGAGCACCACCAGAGCTTCGCTTCAATCAACATCATTCACCACGTGAAGATGCGGTTGTTAATTTTTTTTGCTTGTGTTTCTTTTTTTTTTTTTTTTGGGGGGGGGGGGGGGGTGACATATAGCAGGGTGATTTCAGATAAGATCGACCAAAGGATGGCTAGTCAACATTTTCAAATCAACTGATGTTTTTATATGTTATTGTCTAGTGTCTGGTATGAACGAATCCAAACTTAGTTTTGACTAGAAAAAATACTTGGGGACAGGAAAAATCGTAAGGCATGAGGTGGTGGACAGTTGCATTAACGCGCACTGATGGAGGGGGCCCGTTTGAGAGTGAATAACTAAAGCGATAACATTAGGAGAACTCTAATACGTTTTAGGCGCAAACTATGGGTATAGCTTGCTTGTAATATAAAGTAATCATATTTATTTAAAATTTATTTATTTTCTAAAAATTGACAAACATGCCTGCTCGAACGACAAATGGCAAACTTTGGAGGTCTGTATCTCATGAAATAATTTAATCATCATGATATAATTTGCAGATATTATTCTACTAATATATAGCTAATATTTAAAAAATAACTAAGGTATCTGTGTGATACAATAGTTAGGATATATTTAATCAAACATGGAAAAAAAATCAAACAAAAAAAAATTCCGATGCGAATAAAAAAAAAAAACACAACCCTCGATTTTTTTTAAATTTAGGTAACCTGTTATACTCTATTTCGGCATTCATTTCCATTAAAAACATGTTGCATAATTTTATTGAGCAAGAAGATACAACTCCCCAAAGTAGGGTCCTTTTTCAAAGCCTACACTTAGCAGTGTTTTATACAAGAACTGACTCTGAGTTCCAGTTTCATGAAACCAACACACATCTTTTATATATTTTTATTCAGATGAGGCCAATGATAACTAAAGAAATCGTTCACACACTTAAATTAAGGAGAAACTACTGTGTACAAAGAGGTATCATATTACGGACTAGTGATCCGAGAAAAGGTCATGCAGCCATCGGCCACTAGGAACTTTGTTTACTTTATTCTCCTGCGACACTATATGCTATTCCCTCTTCCGCTCTACCTTCATCTCTCTCTCTCTCTCTCATATATATCCCTGATATATATCCAGAACAAAAACATGTTCAAGCATTCCCTTTCTGCGTGGTAGTGTTCTGTGGCTAGCAAAAATCATTTCCTCGCTAAGCTCACGATTATGGCAAAATAGTTGCCGGAAACCGCAGACGACACTCGTCGCTAGTTCTGGCAAAACGGCCGATACAATCTTTTTTTCGCATTTCCCCGCTCGCTGTCAAGGACAAGGGGGTTCGCTTCAACCAGCAAAACATGGCCGCCGACGCCTGTTTACTGAGCAGTCATGCCTGTCGCCATCTCACTCGCTGGCGTCACGGGCGATAATATCAGGCACAAAGGGGCACACCAACCGGCAGCATCCCCAAATACTCGAGCCTCGCGTAAATACATAGAGTGTAAACGCTGTCGCCATGTTATCGTAGTAAGACCGCCCCCCCCCCCCCCCCCCCCCCCCCCTCCCCCAACGGGGGACTGCAGTACGCGACGGCGTACTAACACAACGGCGACGATGTCGACATCGCGGGCTCCGAATTTTCCCGTAGTTCTACTCCACGGGCATTTCTCGAAACGCTTGATATTGTGTACGCCCGCCTGAAAGGATTTCAGGCGCGTAGTTAAAGGGCAACTCCGGTCCATACTTTCGATTTTGGGATTATGGCTGTTTTTAGTGCAGTCAGCGTCCCTGAATTGCAAGGTGTAATTTTTTTCTCGTTATTGTGCGTAGTTTTGAAGATATCGACGTCTCAAAGTTTTGTTTGGGGCGCGGCCGACAAAACCGAAACTAGCCGCTCGAGGTTCCGGCAACACTGGAAATCAGCCGCTATGTGGACGTGACGCCAAGATCGTCCTCGTTCAGCGAGTACGCAGGCCGAGCGGCACCTACCTCTGTTGCGCTAGCCGTCTAAAGATAGAAGATAAGCTGATTTTGTTTTAATTCTGTATACGTGGTAGTTATCCAGCATATGTAGCAAGAGTTAATGCGTATACCCAAAAGCTAGCGACTGGAAAACCCGTCAACTCGTTCGGTGGCGTACTCGGCGGCCGCCGCCGCGCGTGCGCTATGCCGTGCCGTACTCGTTGCTTGTATACCCGAAAGCTAGCGACTGGAAAACGAGTGAACTCGTTCGGTGCCGTACTCGGCAGCTGTCGGCGTGCGTGCGGTCTCCCGCACTCGTCGCTAGGCCTAAATTGTCATCGGGGCTCCGTGAATGGAGCGGCGTTGCTCTACGCCGCGCTGCCAGTGACGTACAGTGCTGGCGCTTTCGCGCGGCGGGTCAGTCCCAGACACGAAGCTTTGACGCTCTCCGGCGCGTTCCGCGACAACCGAACAGACGTGTGTCAAGCTGTAGACGTCTGTTTTTTCGTTATTTTTTCCTGAGGAGCGTAAAAGCCGAATTCGTAAGCTACGACACTAATTCACCACATAAGTTCGTCCAGGTAGTGAATCTTTGTACAAATAAAAAAAAACTTGCCGCACTAAAAAAAAAAAAGTTTTTTGGGCAGTCATTTCCTTCTCAAAGCTAGCAAAAGTTTTTGTGGGTAATAAAGGAAAACAGAGAACGTTAGCAAAGTGAGAACACTTTCTTTCCCTTCCGCATTCCCACCCCCACCCACAACAATTTTTTTTATTAGAATACATAGGATTTTAAGTTTTCCTTCGTAACTTTTGACTAAGGCAAGTGTTTTTTTTGTTTTTTTTTCATTTTTAAATATTAAATTTACCTCCAGCCGAACTCGGGCAAATTAGAGAGTTGTAACTTTCAAATCCGAACTTTCGCGATTTCTTTAAAGTCCCTTGTGGTATTCACAAGCGCAA